GTTGGCAGTTCACTGTGGTAATGCACAACTAGGTTGTGTTGTCACTGCCAAAATAGGCACTGACCTCACTTCAATATTCTGATAACAAACACTCACATAAACTGTACCATTGAGCTAAGGAAGCGCTAAGGTCTACCGGCTGCTCAAGACCCAAAGAAAGAAGGCAGAGAGTGGACAGAAAGGCAGGGGAAGGGTACAGACTGGAGGAAGAGAGTCAGGAGAAAGCATAAAGTGCACTTACAGAAGAAAAAGAGTATATGATGAAAACATGTGATTTAAAGGAAAATACAAATAATTACAATCTGATTGAAAATACACACAGCAAACTCAACTGCCCACAAGGGCCAAGAAACAAAATGAATGAACAAATAATATAAAGTGGACAGCACGTAAGACAACAGTGAAAACTGCAGCACGCTGAAAAATGTACCCAAAAAAGTAGTCACATTTAATTTCTATAAAGTAAATACTACAAGCCACACGCCTTCATTTTTCCCTCTGAGTGTCGTGGGACAGTCAATATTATACTGTATTATTATTGCTCCCTGTCCATGAGGTTGAGTAATCAGGAATTTTTTTAAAAGAGCTATTTATCTTACTAGATATAAGATAGAGTTAAGAGAAACTTTGCTTCATAATCTACATAATCTAACGCGTTTGCTGGATGATTCAAATTCTCCTTCACTGCTTCTCTCCACTACGTACCAAAATAGCATAGACATTCACTTCTTTAACCGAAAGTGATCCAGATTCTGCCAGCAGTTCTCCTCAAAGGGTATTCCACACTTATACGGGGTCTCTGACGTAGTCACAAGGAGCCTTGGTAGTGTCGTGGGTTACCCAATAGGCTGTTAATGGCAAGCTTAGCAGTTCAAAACCACCAACCACTCCAGGGGAAAAATAAGGCTTTCTACTCCAGTACAGATTTGCAGTCTCAAAAACCCACAGGGGCAGTTCTAGTCTGTCTGAAAGGGTCACTGCCAGTCAGAATTGACTCAGTGGCAGTGAGAGAGAGTTAAAGGTATAGAAAAGTTCTAAAATCTCTCCCAGGGACCAGGCTGCTTATCCTGAGAGGTAAGTGTAACTGACATTCTAACGGTTTCCTTCCATATTACATCATGATCAGAAGTTATTTTTTAGTGTCACCTGGTTTTGGTCAAAATGCACCTCCTTTTCTACATCCTTATTAGCTGAAAAATGATAGCCTGAAAGATGCGGTGCAAGGTAATTCAATTAGACATCAACACTGTGATCATCTCGGACACCAATGAAAACCATCCAGAACTGCCCATAATGAAGCAAACAACACTTACTACCTGCAGACATCTGTCCATATCTGATCGTCCTATCTCGCGATTCTCTGATGCCTTAGAAAAGAAGCCCAGTTCAACATGTATGGAATCTCCTACGCATCGGGCATTGACAACTTTGGTATGGGAATGGCAAAGATGCTTAAACCATAGTTGGAGCGGGAGGGATGGCAACTTGCGGCTTCAATACAGTACACGATTGTAGTGATGCTGACTGTTGTTGCTAGGTGTTGTTGAGCGGGTTCCAATGCACAGTGGCCCAGCAAGTGGCTGCCAACTCACCCAGCCCGTGTGACAGGGTCGACCTCGTCTGTACGATTTTCTGGGCTCCAGTCTTTATGAAGCTGATCATTGTGCCGTTCTTCTGTGGACACGCTGGGTAGGGGTGAACCACCAACCTTTTCCTTAGCAGCCCAGTGCCTAACCATTGCACCACCAAGGATCCTTCATTCACTACGCTACCTACCTCCTTGATGGCCATCAAGTCAATTCTGACCCATAGTCACTCTGCTGGCCCTAGAAGCACTAACCCAAAGGGTTGGCAAGGCTGCCAAGTTGATAGAAGCTGACTGGCCCGTCCGTCTCCCAAGGAGATGCTGCCAAGTTGGAGCAGAGGACCTTTCAGTTAGTAGCTGAACTCCTAACCACTGTGTCACACGGGCTCCTTTAACATACTAACATACAACATCGCTGCCAATAAGACAATACCAACTCCCAGTCACCCTCCATGCCGGGTTCTGAAGCTGTAAAGTTTTCCTGGAATGGACAAACTCATCTTGCTCTCAGCAAGCAACGGAGGTGGTCTCAAGTAGACCACTGACTCTGTGGCTCGCAGTCCAATATGTGATCCGCTCTGCCAGCAGGACTCCTTTCACAATGCACCAAGGGCTCTGAAAAGAGGGGTGCCAACAACGATACAAGAGAATGCAGAGGGAGCACCCAGCTCAGCCTGGAGCCAGAAGGCGTAAGGAGCCAAGGCACTTTGGAAGTCCATTTTAAAACCACACCCCGATAAAAACAGAGTGCAAGTAGCGTAGGCACCGTCTCGATGATAAACAATGTGATGACTAGGTCTAGTCTGTGGATGTCACACAGAATACTTTCCTGTGCTTCAGGATGGTTTCTTCCTGATTCGGTGCTACAATTTTATCCATCACTCTTGAAATGTAAAGCATACATTTGGGCAAGAGGACACAGGCTCTTTCATCCCAGATAGAAGTAAGCAGGTGACTTTCACAGAGCAGAAACCAGGGAAGACTCTAAATGGAATACAATTCTTGAATCAAAAAGATTCTCTTCTCCCATATGGTGGGGAAAATTTTACTCACATTTCCCTTCTTCCATCAAAGGCTTTTTGATTGTGCTCAGGGGTAAGGTAGACTGAGGCAATGATTTAAAAGAGACGGCTTCTCGGTCTCCCACTCCACCCCCAAAGTTCTACTACCGTAAGTACCAGAATAACTGTCATTTGGGGAATACTTGGTTTTAGATAATCCTTACTGAGAAGATCCTACAGGACTCAGATATATACACCCACAGCTTCAGGGAGATTTCAGTAAAGTCTTATTGTCGCAGGAGAGCAGTAAAGGACCCCTCCCACCTCCGAATTTGGAGAAACCCCTGAATGTTATACCAATTTGATTAGTAGATTACAAGTTCAGCCCATTCATGCCTTTTCTGAATCTTGGACACATGTCAGATCTTTGAAGAAAGAACTGTGGAATGTTCAATATCATGCCCTCTTTATGAATTACCACAAATCAATGCCTGGAATTATAGATATTAGCATCCTTTGGAATAAATTACTAACTGTACTTTGTTAATAATTTAATCAAAACTTCACCTTATTAGTGATTCTTTTTGTTTAAAAAAAACAAACTCAGAACCTAGAATTTGTTTCTGAGAAATTGTTTTCCCATACCATGGCTCAACTTAGATGGTACCAGTTTAAATCTTCTGCATCTTCATTGTGAGGATGCTAATAGAAACAGTTGTCTTTGTTAATCTGGATACCATTATATATACAAGCAATCCATCCACAGTTCTAGGGAAAATTCCCTTATCTTTTAATTCCATTTTCCCACAAACTTTTGAAGGCCCCTTGTGTATATAAACTTGTGTGCACATTCACGTGCATTTGTGCACACTGTACAGAAAAACAGTTCAAATTAAGAATTCCAAAGAGTGGTCAAAATGCAATGTAAACATAATCCACAATTCATCACACATCGGTATCATGCAGTGGTCTGATTGCCACAGCCACAGCATAATTCATCTGGTAAGAATAGCAACTGATCGACAGCAACTTTCTAAAATATGTTATTATTTAATTAACAAATCACTGGATTTAGGTGAACTTACAAAAACAGAAGCATAAACCCAACATTTTCTCACATCCCACACAGTCCTCTAATCTCTACAACATATCTGTTACTGACTGTCTTCATCTCAGAGAAAGATGGACAAAAGTGATGACTACAAATAAAGTCCATGAGTCTCTTTCCAGTTTAGCCAAACGACCCCAACCCTCAAAAACTTCACTATAAAACCAGGAACTGTGGGGAAAGGCTTTACATGTGGAGATCAAAAAGACCAATGTTTAGAGAAAACAAAAATATGAAGCATATACGGATCCATGTATACTCAAAATCATATTTGTATTTACATGCAGATAAATTGGGTCAAACACTTCTTTGCATTACAAACAGCAGTAAGCACTGGGCTTGAAAACAGAGACTGCCACTCAGATGAAAGATTATTACCTGTGTAATCTTCAGGAGATTGCTCGTCCTCTCTGAGCATAATTACACCTCCTCCACTGGGTGGTGGTAAGTACTGAATAAACCATGTATGTGAAAGCACTATTTCTCACCACTCAGTATTTCCAGGGAGCACCGTGAGTGCTGAGCTTGTAGCCCCCTGCAGCCCTGAATGGGAGCTATCAGCTCTGCAGGTGGATTCAGGTACATTCATTGTAAACCTTTCCTTTTTTTAATATGAAATCATTTTGTTGGGGGCTCTGACAGATATTATAATAATCCATAAACCAATTATATCAAGTGAACTTGTACATATGTTGCCATCATCATTTTCAAAACATTATCTTTCTACTTGAGCCCTTTGATATCAGCTCCTCTTTTTTCCTTCCCCCTCCCACCCCACCACCCTCATGAACCCTTATAAGTTATATAACATCGCTATTTTTCATCTCTGACACCGACTGCTGTATCCCTTCTATACCATTGTTTTGTCTATAGCCATGTCCCCAGTTTCCTAGGGTCACAACAAGCTCAATTCTAAATCTTATGGAAAATTCATTTTTTCTGTCTTGATGCCAACCAGTACTTAGGCATACAATGACTTTTCAGTCCCGGGATCCATGCACAAAAATTGCTGAATAAGATAAATGGATTTGGAGCCATTTCTTGTCACCTTAAGAACCTACCCAGTGGTACCTCTGGAGATTGCTTTGAAAAGTTCAACCAACTGCATTTTAAAATCTCCTTTTATTTATTTTTAAAACTCTTTATTGTAACTTAGATGCATGTTTACAGAATAAACTGATATTCCATTCAACAAGTCATAGCACATTTTGTTTCGTGACACTGACTGTAAGCCCAATGCCTCTCCCAATCAACCCTAGCTTCGGGCCCGGGCACCTTTCTATATAAGATGATAAGAAGCCATTACCTCTTTCGCACTGGGGTCCAGTAAAGCCGTAAGTGCAGGCACATCGATTTGGGGCCACACACCTCCCTCCATTGAGACAGCCACTTTCACAGACAGCTGTAAAATAAGGAACAGAGAAGCTGAGACGCTTAACCTGAAAGCAGAAGAAAGTGAAATGGCATTTACATCCCCTGAAAAGACCATGGGCAGCAATCAGCCTGGTAATGGCTCTGTAGGTCCAATTGCGTTCTTGGTGCTCAGTCAACTCTCAAGTGGTGCGACTTCATAGAGAATGTATAACTGCGCTGATGCCGATGGTTTGGCTCCATGAAGCATCCAAGCAATGCTTTCAGTTTTGCATCTTACAAGGGCTGTTACCAGGTACTTCCCTACCCAGGAAAAGCATGTTATCCGACTAATTCTTGGAGAGCTCTCATGGGGGGAAACTCTATCACTCCAATGTCCCCTTCGAAGAAATGCAGCATGTAAACCACACGATTAAATGAAAACAACAAAATATTATCACCGGCCTCTAGTAACTTAAGCACCATAACCAGAACTCAAATGAGTGTTATAACAGATTCATTGGAAACTATTTGGCGAGATTAGATGAGCGGTGCTTGAGGGAGGGACACTTTGGTTACTTTAAAAGGCCATAAAACAATAATTGAAAGCTCATGCTTTAAACAACTCTTCTTGGTTCAATTTCCTAAAACTCTTCCATGCATAACTTCTCTGAGCATCTGTATCACAAGCGATAGGCTCTGTCCAGGTTCATCTACTGATCCCACTCATTCCTCGAAACCTAGCCCACCCCTCCACAAGGCTTCCCTAATGCCCCTGGTTAAAATGATTCCTCTTTTCATGTACTTTTCTCTCATGTCAGTGATAGTCACGGTGTTGAGCCGCTCCCTTGCCTATACAAGGAGCTCAGCTGCCAAACATATCCAGCTGTCAATCTTCAGATCTGCTGCAATGGCGAAACCAAAGATACCCTCCTCAGGTGGTTCCCAGTCAATCCCTGAGCACAATGAACCCTAGAACCTGGCCAAACCCAATTACAGTAAACATCTGAGCTACAGAAAAACGGTTCCCCCAAAACAAATGGGTGCCACATTATGACATGCATCAAATGATGATTACCACTGCGTTATCGCATTAAAGATGCTTTTCTGTTTTCTATGCACGCACAGGTACGCCAGAGGCCCCTAGTACAGACTAAGACAAATGGGTGACTCACTGACACTGGACATAAGCTGCACCTAACTGTGGTGACGTACAGACACATTGAGTAAAGACAGACTTGGGAAGAGGACCCATTCGTACTCCAGAGGCTGCCTGTGCTTTGAGACAGCTTGAAAATCCAGGTGTAGCTGTTCATCGAGCTAACAGAAACTGTCCATCTAGAAAGAAAGTGAATGCGTCCCTCTGGGTGGTGATTGGGCAAGCAGGAGGGGAAGGAAACTTAAGGAAAGTGACTGCAAGATCCATTCCCAACATTCCACATGGAAAACCAGTGCCAGGTGTCTGGTTCAGTTATCTTGTCCTTGGTGCAAGACCACCGGACAGCTAGGAAAATACCAGACCAAGACTAATCAAAGGCCATCCATCGGCATGCATCTCTTAATTCTGTGCGCTCCGTAGGTTAAACGTTAGAATAATTATAACCCTGATTTACTTACGCTGTCCACAGTGGGTCCCGGTGTATCCTTTCTGGCAAAGACAATGATCATCGCTGCAGCTACCACCGTTCATGCAGCGGATATTACAGTGTTGGACTTGAAAAGGAAAAAAACAAAACACGGTGTTTAAACACAATCGAGGCACATGGTGTGCGACAGTTCGCTAGCGTGGCTTTGCAGTTCATTTCAAGAAAAAGGAGGTTCTTTCTCGGCAGTCACAGATTGATGAAGCCATAACTGACGGTGTTAAGTCGGTTCTCATCTGCATGCATAAAACCAGGTCAGCTCGGGGCGCTTGTTTAAGCCCATATTTTAACAGTGCTTGCTCGGTTCCCTAATTTAGTAGAACTCACCAGAGTCATTTCTGTAACATACCAACAAGAAAATAGAGCCTTGACAAGGTGACGGTGGCAACACTTCTCCTGTTAAAAGCTTTACAGTCCCAGGTAGGTAGCCAGCCAGGAAAATAGTCATGGTGACAATTTTCACAGCATTTTCTTAAAATATATTTGGGAGGGCGCAGAAAAGAAAAAGATCCCTTGAAGGGCGTTTATTAACAAGACAGCCTGAGAATGGGAATGGGTAGAAATGGCTCTGAAAGAGCTGCTTGTTTCAAATGTAACCTTAACCACAAATAATGCCCTTGGGGCTTGACGTACTCGCTCCTTCAGCTTGTCACCGACGACGGAAGTGGGAACTGCAGGAATCAGGGCAGAAAGCACCGGCCAAACGGCCTCAGCCGGTGAGAATGATGACTCAGAGGAAGGCGAAGGGAGCAGATGTCTGGGCTCAGGGATCAGATAACACACACACCTGTGGCCTCAGTGCTCTAGAGACTAGGCTCACTCTGTCCCAGGGATCTCAGCACCCTATTAACACTTTTGAAAGCCCCCAGCCATTCCCTAGGCCCCCCGAAAGCAGTAACTATCCTATTTGGAGAAGGTTCATGGTTTGGCTGAATTAATAGATCCCTGATTCCGATTGCCCTAGTCCCTAGACAAGGAGGCCAGAACTAGGCACTGGGAGCTTGGCTGATTCTGCCCTGACCTCTAAATGGCGAGAGGAAACCAGGAGGGGAAAAGTCTCAATATTTACTTAAGCAGAGAGAATCTCTGCTTTCCAGGCACGCACCAAAACCCCCTCCTTCTGCTCGGTCTGCCTGGTGCACAGGAACCAAATCACTTCCCAGGGGCGGGAAGGAGACTTCTCCTTGCCTCCACCCTCTTAGTACCACGTGTTAGGGGTTCCTGGGGACAGGAAGGGAAAGTGGCCGCTATTCAGGAGAAAGGCCGAGGGAATGAGGACTTGCAGCACAGCAACAGGAAAAGGAAAGTGCCGGAACGTATGGCGTCCCATTTCCTCTTCCACCTCCAAAGAGGTTCACTCAAATGGAAAGAGAAACACCTTTTCAAGAACATGTCACAACGTCTCCCTGGGCCTGCTGAATGCAGAGCGATCCCCATCTCGCCGCGTGCAAGGCCCCCTCAGCACGGCCCGTGCACCCTTCAGGGGTCCTTTACACTCTCTCAGGGCAAATCTGTCAGAGCGCCAGGGTGGCACACACAGTGAAGTGCTAAACGTAAGGTTAGCAGCTGACACCCCCACTCAAGAGATAGCTCAGATGACAGATGTGCTGACCTGCTTCAGAAAGAAATGGCCCTGACGGCTGGCCGGAGCGACTCCACCTGCACACACGGGTCACCGTGAGGTGGAACTGGCTTGACCACCATTAGCAACAACGAGTGTATGTTACACGACACTGTCCCTTGATCTACTCATCGCTCAAATATGTCTACATACCTACTACCTGCCACCCAAATGCCGGGCACTGTGCTTACCAGTCTTATGGCTCTCTTTGTTCTGGTCGCTCTGCATGCCTTCTTCCCTTTTCATCTGATGTCTCCTTGCTCCTAACTACCCAGTACATGAAACAAGAGTGTTCCCTCAAAACACTAACATCCTGCCTATCTCCAATAGCCTCTCCTCTCCTTCAGTCTTTTCTGATTTCATTGCCCCTTCACCCCCTCTCTGAGGCCGGAGCACTTTACACATCACTTTGAAGCATATGGTATATACGCTCATCATTGTGGTCCTTCATCCTGCCTTGAGTCCTTGGTCCAAAAGCTTCATGAGAGTGAAAGTGTCACGACTATAATTTATTTATAGGGCCATTCAATGCCAAGTACGTCATAGAGGTACCTATATGCAGATGATGGCTCAAGTTTTACCAAGTTCATTTCTATTCCCTTAACTCAGAAGCTGTTGAATGACCTTAAAAACGATCTATGTACCATTGTTTGAGGGGACCTTGGGGGAGGGGTATTTCTTGAGCCAAGAGCCTTGGCATCAACCTCCTAAATTGCCATTCGCTGAGCAACACCGCTTCCCCTTTGTGTCTAGCTTCTGGGTTGTGCTCTCCTGGTACCCACCAGATATTCTGCTGAGTGGAGAGCTACATGTACTCAACCAGCTCTTGACCCCCCTCCAAAATGAAAGCAGTTACCTTCAAGTTGCCTACTTAAGATTTTTTGTTTGGTTACTACTAATAGGTCTTATGGAAAACCTTACTGTTGACAGGTTTACCTGCTATGGAGATGTGTTTATTTTATTTAAATTTGCTACTTTAAATAAAAAGGCAAATTAAAAACTATATATATTGAAATATCACACTGAGTCCAAACAGTTGCCCACAGTGGCCAAAGTACTAATAGGTCCCTAAGTAGGTTGCTGTTTAAAACGTCATCATCTTTGTTCCACAGTGAATTAAAAGCAACATAACTCCTCTGTTGAAGCACAGTTAACGATAGTAGGCAACCTAGGAAATTGATTGAAACAGACTATTATTTTAGGCGCCCATGATTCTAATAAAATCTCTTAACCAAACTACTTTGTCAATTTAAAAATAAGTTTAAATATACAAAAGAAATGATTTGGTGAACTTTTCCGATGGTATTCTAAGTAGGTCAGGAAAAGGACTATCATTGCTTAAAATCTGTAGTTTAACTTAGCTTCATCCTATCTTAGAAAAACAGTCGGGATTAGGAAAAGCACAGGAAATGATGTCATCAGTCAAGCAGCATAGGAACTCAACCCACAAACTGATTTCAATTAGTGTGGTTCATGCCAAGAGCTAATTTCCATTCCCACACAAGCAACAAAGCCATGTTGCCAGTTGTAAGATAAAAAGGCTAACAGTAGTTTTAATTGTGACTTAGCTTGAGAAACAGAATGCATTCTCCTTTCTGAGAAGAATGATCACCTCACTTTAAATGCCACAGAATAATAAAAAAATTTTAAAAAAATAAAACTTTCCTGATATCCATTTAGGTTTTCCCTGAACTGTCTTTCAGCTGAAAACATTTCCAACATTCAGTGTTACTTCTCTTTTAAAAAAAGAAAAACACGCCACCAGACATGTGGACCATGAAGGAAGGCTTATCCCAGTGGCCCACTTAAATCAATGAGCCCTGACTCCTTGGGCTCTTCAGCAGACAGCAGGAGCTTAGTTACCTGCTTTGCCACAAACACGTTTACCAATTTTTGTGAGTCTTAGATCTTTGGACAAAACAAAACAAAAATGAACAGAAGATTTCTTTCAATATGGGAGTCAGATTCAGGAATTCTGTGGGGAAATCGAGGAACTAGATAGGAATTTTTGCTATACTCATAGGAAGCAGTTGAAAAGAGGGGGGGATATATATACATACATATATATATATATATATATATATATACACACACACACACACACACACACACAAACACACGGGTTCTGAGACCCTGGGTGAGTGCTGCGGGTTGGGCATTAGGCTGCTACCTGCAAGGTTGGTGGTTCAAACCCACCAGGAACTCCTGAGCAGAATGATGAAGCTATCTAGCTCCCTAAGATTTACACTCTGGAAAACTCTCTAAAAGACCACTGTAAGTCAGAATCAACTTAACGGCAGTCGGATTGGGATGTAAGTCCTTAGCTAATAACTAAAAAGTTAGCAGTTTAAATCCACTCCAAAGTGCCTTAGGAGAAAAATGTGGTGATCTACTTCTGAGCAATCACAGCCATTGAAAACCCCACGTCACGGAATCCTACTAGGAAACACATGGGTTCTCCATGAGTCAGAATTAACTTATGCAAACAAGAATTTCAGAGGCCAGGCAATTTAGGAAAGAAAGTGGTATGTCTCTAAGGGAGCCCAAAGAAAACCCGAGGTTCCACTTAAACCCTTAAGGAGATTCTAGAGCCTTTACTCAATGCCCCAAATACGCAACCTCAGAATATAGTCTGAAATTCAATCTGTGCTGCTTCCAGAGAATAAAAATACTACGGCACTCAGAGTGTCCACATGCAAACATACACGGCCACATATTCCTGAGGCCCTGTGTTTCAGGGAGAATGTCCTCTCAAAGATGGACAAGCAGCTCAAAGGATTTCAACTAAGGTTCAAGATCCTGGAGTTAGCACGAGATGCTGTGGTTTATCCATATCCCTACCGGATTCCCAAATGAATTTTGTTCCAGAGGATAATTCAACTAAACTCACTGCCATCGAGTCAACGCCAACTCATAGTGACCCTATAGGACAGGGTAGAACTGCTCCAGTGAGTTTGTGAGACTGTAACGCTTTACAGGGGTAGAAAGCCCCACCTCTCTCCCAAGGAACGGCTGGTGGTTTCAAACTGCTGACCTTGGAGTTAGCAGTCCAACACATAATCACTATGCCTCAAAGCTTCTTACAGCCCAGCAATAACACTCCTGGGTATTTTAGTCCAAAGAATGAAGACCCAACTGTGATCAATGAGAGAATGCTGCAGGCTGTGCAGTGAGCAGAATTCCACCTAATTGTTAATTGGTTGCATTTCCCCCAGAAGAAGATTCTAAGATGAGAATTTGAGTAGAGGTAGTTTGTTTTGGAAGTAATCCCGGAAAACCCTGGTAAGAGAGTGGGAAAATGAGACACGGTAGAGAAGGAAGCAATTACCACTGTGGGCAACTAGAGCGCAGGCCCATGAGCGAACTTCAGGAAACAGCGCAGAACACACCTTTCGGTTATACAAAAGAAGAGGCAAGGCAAGGAAGCTGGGGCATTCATCCAACAACCCCCCTCTGTTATTAGTGCAGAGATGTTTCTCAGGCCATTTGAGCTCCAGCACTTCCAACATACCCTACGCGCAGACCTGGCACATCCGCTAGCCAGGAAAAATGTTACAAAACTTTCAGGTGGTCATCCTTGTCCACCCATGTTTGCCAAGGGATGTGAGTGGGCACCAAGAGCAACTGCTCCACAAGACCACTAACTTTATCCTGGCTTATGAGAGCCACTTGCCGTGCGAGGGCCCACTGAAATTTGACCACACTGAAGTCTCTACTTGCAAGAGATAAAAGAAGATGCATTTATTACCCCATCACTCTTCCTTAAGACCTTGTCAAGACAGAATCGACTGTAAGAGGCCTGACTTGTCTCATTAGAAATGGAAAAGAAACCTCAGCTGGTTTTCCCCTTGGTTAGGGTTGAGGCATTTCGAAGCTGTGTATACAGACTTGAACCTCAACTTTCTAACAACCAGCCTATGAGGACTCACGTCCTTCTCAACAGTCCCCTTGAATCACTTCTGAGGACTCTCCATAAAAAATAATAGTGGGAGTAAAAGGAGCCTCCTTAAGAATAAAATGTGTATATTCATTTGACTTAGCAGAATGAACAAATGTTTTAATTATGAAAGTGCTTCTTGATTAGTCTCTTCTAGAAACTGCCTAAATGACGCCTTCCATTGACCTGCTTCCAGAGGTAGTAGATCTGCAGTTTCAATAAGCATTTAATCAGATTCATGCTTCAGTACCTCAAGGAAGAATGACTAGTTTCCATAAGTCAAAAAAAAAAAGAGTTTGTTAAATAATCATTCCATTAAGCACCTTTTGTGGTGTTTATCCTGGAGATACAACGATGAATATACAGTGAAACCTTCATTAAAAGAAGCATTGGTAACCTTTAGATTGTTCGTGTTAACTATGCCCATAGGTTGACTTCCAACAAGGGAAGACGAGAAATGAGAGGCATGAGAGAGGAAAGACATCCCGAGTATTTGGGGTAGAATGGAGAAGGCAGATGTTCTAGTGAAAGAAAGTTGGCAGGGCT